GTAGCCTTCAAAACTTGTTCTTCTGATCATTAATGATTTAGCACATACCACGTATGTTCTTGTTCAAGGGTCAATGAATAGCTCACTCAACAAAATAATAGCTCTTTACAAGATAATGTATATATCAGTAAAATACCTTAGCAACAACATGTTATTAATATCCACCTCGTTACGGTAATATTACTGGCATGTTATCATAGTTGTTCAATTATAACCTAAGGAAAATAAACCCCTTGTAAACAGATTTTTTTCTTTTTTGGTAGCTGAACAGAAAATGTCTTCACCAAGCTGCTACCATAAAGTCCACGAGACAAGCGTTTGGAGGAATTGCTGACCTCTCGTGTTGAGGTGGTATGTCACTAGAGAAAATTCAAGAATCAGACAAAATGTAATGGAGCCAAGGACTGGAAAACAGGTAGGATTCAGTTCTACCTGTAGCATCTTCCACTCAGCTAGAATGAAAAGACACTTTAGAAAGCAACAAGCTGCACAGAGCTCACATTACCTTTGTTCTATTATTTGGCTCATAATGTCACACGCTTAAAACCCCTTCTTGAGAGATGCTGGTGCAATATGCTAGCTAATACTTTTTTATGTCAGAAAGAGGCAAAAGGGACCTCGACTTGAAGAGGTAACATCAATTTCATAGTCGCTATTTAAGAAACAATTTTAAATTAGCTTCAGATAAAGCATCTCTCAAATTCTCTGACAGGTGTTTTCTTCTTTTATTTATTTGCAGCTTTGAATTTGTTCAGTTTTTTTTCCTTTTCCTTCCTTGCTACAGTGAGAATCCAAACAAGCAAGAGGCCAAGCTGCCTGCAGTTAAACCCACCATAATCACAAATGTGAAGGAAGACATGGTATGGATGAAGCCATAAGCACAGCTGCAGCTTCACTCACCTCAGCCCTGGCTGTTTTCAAATGCACAGCATATATAACTATATGTGGTTATAAATACAAATAGAGAGCAAAAAAGGATTCAGAATGAAGATTGCCTCCTGATCAGAAATGTTTTCTGAAGTATGTTTCAGACAGAAGTGTAATGCTTAAGTTTCTAAACTGCCTAATGCCACAGACATCAAGCTATGGTCATGATGCTCTTCCATGCTCTGACACAGAAGAGTTTGGGGCGAACAAGGCTGTTGCTAACGTACGGTTCAAAGGCAATCTGAAAACTCAATGACTGCAGCCTCTGAAGACCTTCATTGCCAAAGGAAATAGACGTGCAGTTCAACAGTTCAAGTTCTGTATTGGGAAGTAGTTACTCAGACTTTGTTTTTTTCTCATTCCAGTGTACGTGATCACACTCTGCCCGGATAATGTTTTACCTCTTCCCATGTTATGTCCTCTCTTTTCGCAGCCCACACAGATCAGCTAAACTGCTAAAAGGAGAGTAATGGATCGTGGCTGAAGTTGGAAAAGGGGTTGTCCTGGCAGTTCAAGCGCTAATGGTTGTTCTGAGTTGTTATTCTTGTAGGCTTTTGAAGCAGTGGATTCTTTGCTGACTGCAAAATTGGATATTCGGGTTATAGGAGAGACTGTAGCTGGTCAGCAGAGCTGTGTAACGTTGTGCGGTGAGGTAAGGATATGTCAGGATCTGGGGGCACACCTGCCCGTTGCTTATTTCAGGATGAGAGGTGGGTAAATTCCATGTTGCCCCATTAAAAAGGGGCACAATCCACTTACGCTGAGCTACATCCCTGCATTAGCAGTGACATACTGCCTAAACCAGGGAGCGGGCAGAGCGGGAGATGAAAACGCTGACACCTGTAAAGGAGTAGGATGAGCAGCTCTGTTTCAGTCTAACTCCATTTTCCCCTCTTCCAAAATGAGCGTTCACTTTAATTTGTTAATGAGGAATTTGGCTGACATGAATGAATGAAGTCAGAGCATTAGCAGTTGGTGCAATAGCCTCTTTTCTGGTAAAAGACTCCTGAGTGACAGGCAGCTTCTGCCAGTGTCTGGCGGCAGAGTCCAGCCCCACATCCAAATCCAAGCGCTTCCACCCTTGGGAGGCTCAGCGTAGCTCCTGTGTGTGTGACCAAGCTCTGAATGCATCCAGACATCAGGAGCACCCAGCTTCTACAGTACGTGGTGAAGTTAGAAGACGTGGGCAGGAGTTTTGCCACATCCACAGGAAAGGGCAGCTGAAACCGTATTGTGGTGCATCACCTCGTCTTGGCAAAAAGCCTTCTGGAAACGTGGGGACAGCTAGATGTGGAAATATCCCAAATCCAGCAAGAGTTGCTTGCGCATGGCACAGTCCTCTGTCAGATGCCAAGCGTGACCACCGAGGAGGTGGTGATCTTGCAACGTCCTCAGCATCAGCAGGCAGAAGTAGTGTATGGGCCCACCAGCTATCCCATGAGTAGATGGGAAGTCAGACTTTCAGAGGAAAGAGCGAGAAATCATCAAAATGGGGTCTTCTTGCTGCTCGAATCTGAGAGAACCCTTTGGTCTTAGATACTTCCCTCTGGGCTGCGAGCTCGGAGAGCTGCAAGTGGACACAGGAAGGAGGTAGTCACCCCCAACTTTTAGGGCTGCCTAACTCTTAGGCCAACCTAACCTGGGCAGTCCCAAGCTCTTCTCACCCCTGTGTGTCCCTGGGCTGCTCCCCAGCCACAACAGGATCATGAAGGCATGCGGGTTCATTGGCCATGCCCCAAAGCCTGTTGTGGCCCCACAGTTGCTCTTGTGGACCTGTCTCATGTGTGATGTTCGACTTCACTGTTTCGCTTCATGTTCCCCTGCCACTGGACCAGCAGCCATCCTCTTGCTGTGTGCCCTCCTGCTCCGTGGGAGTAGGGCTAGCTTGGCCACATGTCTGAAGTGCAAGGTCTTAGAACAAGAAGGCAGCTGTAGCTGTCAAGGCGGGAAGGGTCTTTCTAGTGCTTAACTTAATTTCACAAGATGGTATCCAGGAGCCTCCGTCCCTCTGCTCCTCACATGGCCCCTCATGCCAGAAACACACCTTGCTAACTTATCCTCCATGGGGAAGGTGATAAAGCTCAAAGGGTCTGCAAACTCGCTGGCAGCAGAGTGGTGAAATGAAGCCAGGAAGGGCTGGGGCTCCATTTTTGTGTCTCTCAAAGGAAGGGTCTTCTCCTCTGTTGCCATGCACCAGAGTACCAAAATGCTGTCGTTCTTGTTAAAATTCCATGCACGCACTCTGCCTCGTTTATAAGCTGAAATACAAGTTGACACGCACCTGCTTAATATAATTCAGCACTTGCAGTTTTGTGTTATTACAGCTGATTTGTTTGATCAGGTATATGAAAACTGCTTGTCATCTGCTGTTTTACCTGATGGAGAAGGTTTGGGGACATCTGCATAAAGAACTTTATGGATCTCTGTGCTGTATGAGCTCATAGCACACTAATTACCATATGCTCCACTTTATTTCCTTTTGTGCACAGCCTGCCTTGCTTCCCCAGGGAGTTCTCTACACCAAGAAAAATGCAGAGGAATGTAGTCTTCATCAGCATCTCCCATATTTATGAACTGTCATCATCCCATGACTTCTTCATGTCAGGTGGAGAACAAGAACTATGTTGAAGCATCTCGCAACTAATATCACGAGCAAGGAGCTGGCTTCAGCTCCAGGCCTAACTGGAGGTCAAGAGCCAGATCGCACTCAGTGTCTCTTGCCCAAGCCTGATGCTGTCAGCCCCCACAGCTGGCCGTACCAACCAAGGAGATCATCTGAAGCTGGCAACAGGGACGTGGAGCTCTTGAGTCAAGAGCAGCTGAAGGAGACCGAGGCCACATGTCCCCTCAAGGCTGACATACCCCTCGCTTGCCACATTTCTTGTGGTGCTGTCCAAGAACATCTCCTTCACCAGCTTCTCTGCTGTCTTGTTCTTTCCTACAGGGCCTCTAGACAGGCACTGCTCAGAAAGGAACATCTGTTGGCCAGAAATTCTATTTATTGAAATCTGGTTTCACTGGCAGGGAGAGGCTGCTTGTAAGCCAGGCAGCAGGTGTGTTGCAGGAAGCCCTGCTGTGCTGGTACCATCCTTCGGACAAGCCGGGCAGCATTTGCCCGCATATCCAGGTCTCTGTCCTTCCCGCAGGAGCCAGTGAGTCAGGGAATGGTGACAGTATGCATGCGACTGACATCCCCAGCAGGCACCCAGAGAGTGGCCACCAAACGCACATGGACCTGGGAGCTACAGATAACGCCTAGGTGTCACGGCAAAAATCAGGTTTCCCCCACAAAAGACATGGCCTGGTGGTTATAGCACTCTTGTGCAATTCCCTTTCCCACTAGGTCTTTTTTTTAATCTCTGGACACTCCGTCCTATTCCTGAGAAGCACTTTCAGCTAAAACTGTCTGGCGGTGTCCTCGTCTGACAGCTTGGGTGGGACCAGCGCCCGCTCCAGGGAGCATCTGCCCTGCTCTGGGCTTCAAGGGAAGCACATGCACAAAAATGACAAAACTCCCATCGACCTCAACAGGACAATATCAGGCCTTTCATGCCTCTGTTTTTTTTTTTTTTTTTTTTTTTGTGGTGCTTTTAAATCAGAGCTGGCAGTTTGCAGCTATTGGGCAGTTCCTAAAACTGTTTAAGAGAAACTGTCTGCACCTGCTGACTGCGTTGCAGCCTCTTGGTCTCACCTCCTTGAGTGAATAAAGGAGAGAGGAAGGCTCTGCAAGGCTAAATCTTGCCATCTATGTCCTCCAACCTCACACCTCCTTCCATGCCAACAAGACCAAAACTGGTGACTGACACGCAGTTCCACCTCTCGGCAACTGGCCCCCGGATCCTCAGCCACAGCGCTAAACATCTCAGTGGCAAACATGAGGTTCCGATTTCAGATGAGGAACTAATGAAAACCCTCCTTTCCTTCTTGTTGTCCCTTTAAATTTAGTTTCCAAGGAAACAGGTCTGGCAAGGCTGCCTGGAGGGAGTAGCAGAGAAGGAAATCTCTGCCTCGCTGCTCTCCGCTCCGGTTTGCCAGCTGAGCCACTGAAATTGCCAGGCTTTTAGGGATGTTTTCTCTATTGTGATTTATGCCTTGGATAAGACTGCTGATTTCTCATAGAACAACTTCTCTAGCAAGTCACGAACTGGTTAGTTATGTTGCCTTTATGTGCAATTGCGCCCCTGGTAAGCTGCATTCCTCTTCTTTCATTGCCGGTCTTCCGGTGTGAAGGTGACGTGCGCTGAACCAACCAGCCGTGACACTGCGTTATTGGAAATGTCACTTGTGCTGGAAAAATTCACTCCACCTCTTTTTTTTCTTTTTTTTCAAGTGGTGGCAAGTGTGCCCTGAGCATGCAGATTGAGCTAAAACTCGGAGCAGAGGGATAACTTTGTCGTTAATGCACTGTTTATCCTAGGGACAAATCGCATCAGGTCCAATTCTGCCATGTGCTGAGTGCCTCATTTCTGCTAGATCCATCATCGAGTTGTTTTGTGGCAGGGTAGGGAATGGCACATAGGCTGAAGACTGGCATGAGAGGACGTGGATGGGGCATGCAGAAACCTCTTTAATTACCTAGATGTTTGCCTATAATTAGAAAGCAAGACTATCATACCCAAGACGTAATACTGAGACTGTTTTCTGCAAGCCACATGAGATAGATCTTGCGTGTCGTACCATAACTATTCTCTACTTGATGCTGGTGTACTCTCAGACAGAGTATGAGCTTTGTTACTGTGCACCACACTTCAAGAAAGATGTAAACTAGTACTGGAGAAAATTCAGAAAGCAATGGGAACAACTGGAGGTCTAGAAAATATGACCTAGGAGACCAAATGGAATGAATTAGGTTTGTTCAGTGCAGCGGGGAGAAACCACAGGGACACATAGCAGTAAAGGGCAACTGCAAAGAGAAAGGTAATAAAATGCTTTCCACACACGCAGTGAGCAGAACAAGAAATTATGAGCTTAAACTGCAACAAGGGAAAATTAGTTTAGAGATATGGAAAACTTCCCTAATGATAGGAACAGAATCATAAAATAGGGCTAAAAGGGATATACAGAGACTATCTAAGTCCATTAGCCTTGTCTCGAAGCAGAGCCAGCTGCACTGGGCAGATGCTTTTTTTACCCTGACTTAAGACATTTTCACAGGGTATGAGACTCCATTCCCTGCTCAGGCAACCTATTCCAATGCTTTGCTGCTCACTGAAGTAAGTGTCCTTTTGCAGAAGTCTAGGCCTAATACTCCACTTTTTATCCACAGCAGATATGGCAAACAAACTTCCCTCTTCCCTTTTCATCTGTCCTTTTTCCATATGTGAAGGTTATTAACATGTTCTTCCCCCCCTTTTCCCCCGCCACCGTTAGGCTGCGGTGTCCTATTATGAAGCATCTGGTCTCAACCCAGGCTTAAGCTACCGATGCCTTTTTCCTCTTGCCCGGCCCTGTCCCATCAGTTGTGCCAATGCACGGCATGCATCGCAAAACCCCGGAAAGGGAAGCAAGTGGTAGCCAGGGGAGTTGGACAGGACCTCCTCCATCTGCATAGGATGAGAGAATAGTCACAAAAATGATCATTTTGAATGCTAACGCTGCTCTCCACCCTGCTGCGATAACCCCTCCCCGGCCTCATGTTATCTACAGGTCTAATAAGCATCCTCCAGTGTATCATTTCATCATTTAAGTCAAAAATGAAATTGCCCAACAAAGTTAGACCGAGGATAGCACCACACATATATTGTTTCTTTTTGATAGTCATCTATTAATAACTTCTTCTGCTGCACGGTCTTTCCGAGTAGCTTTTCATCAATCGATAGCAGCTTCATCTAGACCGATCTCTCCAGATAGCTTCTCAAAATGTCACAGGGTTTAATATCAGAAGTCTGACTTTGGTGGAGACGTTCGACATCTGTCACTTCACCCCATCACGGAAGGAAATCAGACTGGTATGACATGTTGCTCTTCACCAGTCCATCTTAACCGCTTCTCGTCTCTGTTTTCTTCTAGGTCCTTTCAAATAATTTCTCTCATTATTTGAGAGATCTAATATTTTTCCAGAAACCGAAGCCACGTGTGCAGGTCTGTGAGCGTCCCTTCCCCCTGTTTTAAAGCCCGGGGCTGCGCTTGCCCGCCCACCCACCCTCCTGGGCGACTGCAATTGCTCTTGACGGCAGATTTCATGAGCCAGGACCACCTTCGGTGGGACAGGACGATCTGAAACCACGCAGCTTTATCTCAGCTTAGTACCTTATTTTTTAATTACCGCAACTGCTAACGGGGTTGCTGTCCTGTTCCAGGTAACCTGCTGCAGTTTTTAAGCAGTTCAGCTTTGTCAGAGGCATGTTCAGACAGTTTTATTCCTCGGCTCATGGGAGAGCCACCAGCTTCCTCGGTCACGTTTGTACCACAAACGCGGGGAATCATTTTCCTTCGCTCTGACCAGATCACTTCTTGTCCCTCGTTTGCCCACTTCCTTTACGGCCTTGGCCTTTCCCGTTTTGCCCCCCCTCCCCGCGACATTTTCACACTCGGCCTAGGAGCGCCCCGCAC